ATGATACTTTCATGTCTGCACTGGACTGATATTCTGTTTTGCATTGGACTGCATTTATCTCTGCAGTTTCTTCTAAGGAGTTGGTTTGCTGTTATGTGTTGGCCTAGAATTTCTGAATCAGGTTCCAGGTAGGAGCTTAGGTGTAGGATTAGAACACAGTTGCTGTACAGAATTTTTGATGACAGAATTAGTAACAAATTTTCTACTTTTTGTGTACAGTTTACTATTTTATATGGCCTATGAATCATGATTTAAGAGAATATCAAACTGTACGTTATGATTTTTTTATAATGTCCATTCATTCTGGCTTGTTGCACTTTGAATGTTTATATGCTTCATGTTTGATCAGGCTTGATCATTCACATCATGATCTATTTATATGCTTTATGCTCCCAACATCAAAATGCCAGAAGTTGATTTGTTGTTGTATTTGTTGAAATACCGCAATTGATTTGCAATATTCTGTGTATGTCCAACAACTTTCATCCATTACCTGATAGTTGATTCAAGCAATTCTACTTGGTTTAAGAATGACATTTTCAAGCACGGCAACAAACAACGAAGAGTTAACATATCGCAATAGCACTTGCCCCATTTATAGCAAAAGAGCGATTATCAAAGTTTTTGAATCTAAAAAAAATATTGGGAAGCTATATTGCAGATGTCCAAACGATTCCAGTCACTTTTTTAAGTGGATGACTCCTCTTACTCTCCCCTCTTCGAAAAGTACAAATAAAATGATGGATGTATGACGAATTGAAGATAATGTACGACGTGTTGAGGCTAAAGGAAGATCAATGAATCAAATATATTTGTAGTCACATTACTAGTGGTGATTCTTATATTTGTGATTTTAGTGAAATATAGCTGTAAGAGCAATGGTGTAGTGTTGAAACTTGTGTTGTGAATGAATTTGTGCGTTTAATTGAATGAAATTGAGTTTTGTATATTGTTGTGACTTGGAAGATCATATTCATAAAAAAAAGATCACATTCATTAAAAAGATCATATTCATAAAAAAAAGATTATATTCATTAAAAAAATCACATTCATTAGATCACATTCATAAAAAAAGATTACATTCATTAAAAATATCATCTTCATAAAAAAAAGATCACATTCATTAAAAATATAACAAGCATCCTTACAACTGCTAGTAGTCTCATTAAAAATAAATAGTTCGCAACAAAATGATCCAACTACTAGCCTCCATATGACTCCAAGCGTCCTTTTAACTACTGATCCTCTAAACATCTTTAAAAGTTGAATTCCCCATTCATGAAAAATGATTCAATATCATTTAAAGAATGCATATATGTTGAATCAGTCAGAGTACTCTACATTAATGAGAAGGAGTTAGACAAAGAAACTTGATACATATGTAAAACAATAAGATTAACAATAAGGTAACATACCATAACACTTTGTACACTATTTGAAACTTGAGAAGACATTGAATGACCATATGTTGATGTACATGGGTGACTAAAACCATGTACCTGGAATACAAAAATATTTACAATTATGTTTATAAAAATATAAAGTGAATAAAAATATGAAATGAATTTATATGATACCGTAGACATATGTGATGGTTGAGAAACTCCCTTTTTTCTCTTTGTTGTTTTCTCATGCCAAGATTTTAGTCGACCCCAACCCTTATAACCAACTTTTTTTCTTTTTAAACCTTTAACTTGGAGAAGGTCTGAGTCAACATTTCCTATTCCACTTGGGTCAACATTTTCATGGATTGGGTCAACATTTTCATGGATTGAAACATCGCCACCATCACCAATTGATGCATACATACTATCAACTTGTTTGAAAAATTCCTCAACACCACGTGACACCAAATTAATATGCAGGTTGAAAACTAGATCATCGTGCAGCTAGTTGTACCATTCTAGGACAAAGCTGCATGTAACGTGACGCCACCATTAACTTGGGATTCTCTTCATTTGACATTAAAATAGGGGTTGTCCTATAACTCTTTCTTGCATCTCGTCTCCATCTCTTACATATGTATTGCTCAGAAATTTGCTTAATATTCATCATGTCCAAGACTTTAAGTGCATGACCACATAATATTTCCTCCATTTCAAACTTCTAACAACTACAATTAACTATCTCCTCATTAGCCTTAACCAAGACCTAAGACTCTCTATATTCATCATATAATCGAACCACAAATTGATGCCACCCATTCAACACATCACATGGTGTCGCAAAAGCACATTGAAAGATATCATACTCCTCTTGGAACAACTCAAACATAGTAGAAGTGTACATTTGTCCTTCTTGCATAGTAGAATTGGGAGCTTTTTTTAACTTCAATCTAGGTAATTTTTGCCTAGCTTGGTATTCTGAGTCTGACTTCTTTTACCGCTTATCATTCACAACTCTTTTAAAATGCACAAAGAATTAAACAATGTCATAATCTGGCTTTAAATACTTCCGTAAGGCTGCATTCAAGCTCTTACTTAGTTGGATGCTTCTCATTCCTCCAGTGAAAGTCCTCTTCATATGCACATGCCCCCATTTCTCTCGCAATGTCCAAGTGAATTTTATCAACATATTATCATGCAAATTATACTCTGCAAGCAACGATTCTCAAGTCTCAAATAATTCATGCTCTTCCTCATATCCATACACACACTCTTTAAATCGAGCAGGATATTATGAACCATCCTTATATATGTTTTCCAAATGTTTCAAAACATTCTGGTAAAGGTGTCAAGTACATAACTCATGGTATGTCTCTGGCATCACTATAGAAATAGCCTTAGTCATCGCTTGATCTTGGTCCGTGAAGATGGTAATAGGATATTTTTCAGACATAGCTTGTAGGAATATCTCAAACAACCACTGAAATGATGTTGTCATTTCATCATACAATAATGCAACTCCAAATAAGAAATGATTGAAACCAGTAAAACAAGCAAATGGTCGATACTCCTTGTTCGTTCTGAAAGTAGTGTCAAATGAGACAATATCTCCAAAGTTGCCATAGTTAATAATTATCACTGGATCGGCCTAAAAAATATTAGTATTATACTCCTCCGCATCCAATTGCACTCCATAATAGAATGATGGATTTTTAGCTATTTTCGCTTGAAAATACTTCAACAAACTACCCGCCTCACCATACCTCAAGTCTCGTTGCCTCCTCTCACGGAAGTAATTATTTTAGTCTTGACTAGTAAAACCAAGACTTTCCTTTCCTCCAAACTAAGTACTTAAAAGTTTATAGGAAGTCTTTAGTGACAATTTACAATTCGTTGTCATATCAATATTAATGTTTTGTGCTCCAGTAACCTTCCGTTGAGATGACATCATATGCATACATTCAACAAAGTGCAAAAGATGGTTGTGGTTGTCGTCCCACTTTACCACAACAAATTTACCAATTTCTCTATTAAGAGATATGCACGTATGAGCTTGACAATTTTTTCGTGTCTCTGCTCAAGGCTTCTTTATTTGCCACTCTCTTTTATTACGAACACTTTGACCTTGTTTACAATAAACATATTTTCTGTAAATGACAATGCCATCTTTCAAACTTTTATTTTGAAAATCTTTTCTCACGCTAAATCCCACAAATTCTCCATAACTATTGTAAAACGCATAAGCATCTTCCTCCGCATCAAATTGCATACCAATATGAGGTATATTCTCAGTCGTATTAACTCGCAAATCATCCATCATAGTATCCTACAATAAAAAATTTAATTGAATAAGATTGTCTGTTGTGAATGAAACACATACTATATGTATGAAATTCAAAAAAAAACAAAAATCAAACTACCAGTACAACATTCAAATGCAGAATATAAACTCCCAGCATTCACATTAACTCCCAACATTCACATTGACTCCCAGAAATGCAGAATATAAACATTCTTTTAAATATAATTTGTCATTAATTAACTCAGTAGTCATTAAATTTAAAGGCACATGACATAATCCATCTGGAAAAATGCTTGACTACTTTAAAGATAAATTTGTAGGCAAGCATAACTTTGGCATAAAATACACACCCAATACATTCAAATGAAATTTTTATAGGAATACAATGAATATGAGCAAAAATATGAGTTGTACACATATTTATGATGCAGTTGATTGGACTAAACAACAAACAACAAAGAAAGCTTCAACACAAAGGTAATTTAACCAAAACCTTACTCTCTTATTTCGCCAAGGCCCAACTCTATTCTCTGTCCAAGTACACCTCTAAGAAAGCTTCAACACAGACAGAAACTCTCGGAACTGGAAACCGTAGCATCAAGTACCTCAAGGCCCAACTCCTCAAATGCTTCAAGTTTTCATTATGCTTAGTTCGACCGAGTTGAGGAAAAAGAAGGTGGGAGAAGCAGAAAGCGGGGAAAAAGGGAGAATGCAGATCTTGAATTTGAAGGATCAAAACCACATCGTTTTGGTAAGGGTGAATAAAAAAAAATTTGAAAAATTAAGTGAAACGTTGCCGTTCTACTTAACCGCATGTCATGCAGTTGATTTTTGACTTGAAATTAAGGATGTTAAAATATGGAACGAGTGATTACCACGATATGAAATTAGAGAATTTTGATATATATTAATCCACCTGTTCCATAAATGAACGACCACGACACGATACAATTAATAAACGAATCACGTTTGGATAAAGTTAATGAAAAGAAATACACGATATAACTTATTTATGTATTTATTATATACGATTCATGTATGATATGAATTCGATATAATACGACTCGTTATACGTAAATTAATAAACGAATCGAGTATATTATGTTAAAACACGAACCAACTTCACCATATCGGTCTACTTGAAATGTAATATTGAGTTAGGTCATTAGGGATTTTTTCGTAGTGAATACTCTAATCTTGTTATGGATGACTTGTTTTTGATTGAATTGAAAACATATTAGTTAAGATGTACGTAATCTGGTCCAGACATATGTTGAATTAAAAAAAAAAGAAATGTAATATGAGGTAAGGAGGTTTTTTTTGGCTGGCGACGCCACTGCAATCCCTTAAACCCCAAATATCCTTCAAGCTCCAAACCACAAAACCCTTCTTTCTCTGCATTTCAATGGCCATTCCTATGTAACAACACCACCACTTCTCTGAACTTCAAAGCTCCAACAAACAAAACCCATGGTTTTCCTCAGAACCCTCCGTTCTTACAATTTATACACTCTCCTCAAACTCCAAAACCCTTCTCAATTACCCCATACCTATCTACATACCCCTTTCATACCAACTCATCCAATTATTTCGATTTCCCCTCGATCTTTACTACTTTCGTCAATTTTTCAAAGACCCATTTCGCTTTTTGCTCGGTTCGAACAGAAAGTGGACGCTGATTTGATTGATTCAGAATATGTGAAAGAACAGAGAAAGGAGGGGACAAAGAAGCGACTGGATATCCTTTTCAAAGAAGCAGTTGGATTGGCTGAAAAGCTCGAACGCAGCGACAGCGAAGACAAAAGTGAAAGTGACAGTGAAACCAAAGATTTGAAGAAGAAATTGAGGGCATTGGAGGTAGACGTGAGGACTTTGAAAGAGAATAAATTGAGGAACTTGAAAGAGAACAGTAAGGAGATAGAAAAATTGAAGAAGAAACCCAAGATCGATGATGAAGAATTGAAGGGTGAGACTAAGCCTAGGCGCTTATATGCATTGTTTACGCATAATGAGGATGCTAGTCGCAAAAAATCTGGGGAATCGGAGGCTATGAGAATGGAGGACCCAAAAGTATACAAAGAGCTTTCACCTGATATGGTTTTGTTTGTGAGACATTTGTACGATGAAGGGTACTTTAAGGATGCAAACTTCTTGCCTAGGAATAAGTTTGATGTCACTTGTTTCGAGAACAGTTATGGCCGCGATTTTATTAAGTTTGCGGCTGAGAAGTTTGGCAAGGATCACCAGGAAATTGCAAAGTGAGGAATACTCTTCTGCTTTGTCATTGCCTTAAATCATATAATTGTCAAATTCATTGTATTGAGGGCATTCTCTGGCACATTAACATACCACTCTTCATGGGTTGAGGTTGAACTTTTGTGTTCTTCAGTGTAGAAGTTTGATATTTGTGTTAAGCTCCATATGTAGCTGTGATTTGGTACTTGCAACCATGAAGTAAGCCCATCAAATATTTGTAATTTAAATATTCCTAAATAGCTTCGGCTTTGGAAAACTTGAATATGGACGAATGAGAGGCTTACCTATAAATGGTAGGTCTCACTTGAATTTATGATAGATGATCTACTATTGGGTAAAACTGACTGAAAGTACAAGGGAGTGTATCTTAATCCAGAAAACTTGTATAGGCTGATGAGAAGTTCAGGTTGATTATGCTTAAAGATAAATTATGTCGATTAATCAGTATATAGTTCTATTACCTGCTAGAGTCAGGGGCTATTTGTTGTTTGCACAAACTGCGCTATAAGAAATGTGAGAGAAGATTTCCATTTTGGGAACTAGTCTTTGGGAAGGACTTTATTTGGATAATGGAGAAATGGATAAATAAATGTAGAAATGCTTTTCCATCCCTGAGATATCAAGACCTAGAGGATGTATGTTTTTCTCTCCAACCTGGTAGTTGTTCTCCCACAAATAGTAGGTTCAATCAACCTGTACTCCTAACAAACCTTTGTTGATGTTCCACGCATCTATAAGTTGCTTGTACAAGGTTTGTCATTGTCATCCAGTGAATTGTAACTAGTACAGGAGAGGATAAACAGAATTGCTGAAGAATAATCACCTTCCTGGAAAAATGGAATCTCATATATATTGTCGACTTTCATGGGGTAATGAACTCTCCTGTTAAGTTTTATGTGGCATGTGTTTAGCTAATTTTTGGTTCAGAGTTATGCATGGGTGGTATACATCTTTCAAAAACAAAAAAGAAGTTATTTATGCAAAAGAAATAATATGCTTGAAGTTTTTGTCAATGGTGTCGGAACTAAAAAGAAAATAATAATAATGGCAAGGAAATTTTGACTGATCGATCAATTTTGTAAGACAGTAAGAGTATGAGTTGGCCTGTCTGTGCATCCAAGAATGGATCACTAATGGGGAAAAGAAACAAGTTGGTAAAGTTGTGGGCTGGAAAGAAGAGAAAGACAGTTGGTTAAACTAATATGCGAGTAGCATGAAGATTTCCAGCAGCATCTATGCATGTTTTTGCTTGTTTAGAATTGCCTATGCAATATAGTGCACTTCATAGTGTATGTCTCCATGAACCTGTGCATGCGTAAAACATTAGAAAATGTGTGTTTCTATGTGCACTTCTTTATGACCAAAAAAAAAATGTGCATTTCTTTATGACCAAAAAAAAAAATGTGCACTTCTTTAGTTTTGTTCGATTTAGTATGGTTGTTCCACTTGCATCTGGTTTTCATTTTCTGCTGAGTTGCCTTGCTTATCTTATCTTAATCTTGCGAGCTTAAATTTTGGTTTCTCAGATGGTTGTCCGGCAGTGACTTAAAAAAGGTGGCCCTGGTTGGTTGCCCTTCTCTTGCTAGGAAAAATATATTTTCTGCTAAAAGATTGCGGACATTTTTTGCAATTCAGGAAAACAATGTAAGTCAACTGTTCCACTGAAATTTTGCCCTCTCCATCGTCTATTGATTATTGTCCATACTTGAATAACATAGCATGATGCTTTTTCTTTGTTCTGAATTCTTCACACGCTCACATTCAGGTTTGCAGCAAATGCATCTTGAAACACTCATGCAAGTTTGTGAATCAGAGTGTATGGAGAGGTGACACCAAGACTTTGAATTTGGCAGTTGTAATGAGGGTTATTACTTTGTATGCGTTGGAGTTGGTACCTCCACAGTTGGTAGTGCCGGATGAAGTAAAGGCTTCTGTTAGTCGACTGCTGAAGGAGGTTGTAAGTCTTGGTCAAACTGTTTCATAAGCTTCATCAGGATCTCACACAGCTGTGTCTCAGGTAATTTAAGGCTGATTCTTTTCAAGACTGCTATGCTCCCTGATCATTTTGCTGGCTGCCAGGAAGATTCATCTCTCATGTCATGCTTACACGCTCGGATGCATGGATCCAACAATATATCTGAGATTGCCAGAATGGTGGGTGGTCGGGTGGAACGATGATGAAATTAGTGCTGGAAATTGCCTTAGTGGTCTATGAATGGTGAATTGGTCGGTCACATTCCTTGCTGTAGATGCAAAAAAGGAACTTTCCCATGTCAATTGGTTAGTCTCACTATGAATAGGCTATTCAATAAACTTTGTATGTAATTTCTGGGCAAATTTATATGAGCTCAGATGTTTACGTTAACTCTTTTCAATCAATCTTTCAGTGAATTGAAACGAACCCAATGATCGGTTTTCCAGATAGATTATTCAAACTGCTCTATTGGTTTGCTGGAGTCGATTTGTGAACAAGTTCTTTGGCTGGCTGTGCTTTTTGTTAAGTGGTAATGTTCCTCCGGCTTGTTAAGTTAGCTGGTTTATGTAATTTATTTGAGAAAAGCGAAGTTTCATTAATGCCATCGATCTGTTCCTGGCCCTTTTGTATCATCGTACTGAATTGCAGTAGTGTTGTTTCGCATGGACCAAACTCCAATTCTCATCAGTCTTTTCTCCCTAAATTAAGAGTTAATGTGTGGATTGTCTAACCCCCGTTTCAGTATAAGAATACTACAGAAAGCCAACGCACAAAAGGGGTGACCTTGGTTGCGGCATTCAAATATAAAATCATCGATTACACGTTGTTGGGACACAAAATATTAAATCCTAGGAATATTTAGCATATTGACACAGTTAGAGGTGTCAAATGTGTCGCATTAAACGGATACGTGTCGGGTTAAATTGGTGACGGGTTAAAAATATGTAAACCCGTACACGACACGTTTAATAAATGGGTGAAAAATCTCAACACAAACACAACTCATTTATTGTAACACGACACGACTCGTTTAACCTGTTTAATTTTAAAAAAATTATATCAACAAATTTTAATACTCTATTTTTTTTATTCTATTTTTCTTATTGACAACTATACTTACCTCAAAAAAAAAAGAATTTTTAATCAAATCTTATATAAAAATCAAACTTGAAAGTTAAAAAAAAATAGACAAGAAATCAATGTTTTTTATAGGTAAGTCAGCCCTCCCCATCTCCGCTCATTTGCCGATGTGGGACAAAAATAAAGGACATTGGTTTGTCTTTGTCTTTGAGTTGCTCTCCATCTCCCCACCTTTCTCTTTGTCTTTAAACTACTGTTTTACTTTTTTTTTGAATTTTTTTACTTCTTTGTTTTTTAACTAAATTTTTTAAATAATTATTAATTTATTATTATATTAATTTTATTTAAATGAGTAAACGTGTGATAGGTCTCACTTGAACACGACTCGTTTATTAAACGTGTCTGACGGGTTAACCCGTTTACCACCTAAACTCGTTAAAATCTCAACCAAACTCGTTTAATTCATATTGATTAATCGTGTCGTGTCAANTCGTTTATTAAACGTGTCTGACGGGTTAACCCGTTTATCACTCAAACTCGTTAAAATCTCAACCAAATTCGTTTAATTCATATCGATTAATCGTGTCGTGTCAAATTTTGACAGACTTATTGAAACTTGACATTCTAGAGTTACCGTGGAAGTGTAACGTAGCAGAATCTGGAAAAGGAAGAGTGATGATTAGCCATATTCATATTTAAAAATGAAGAAACAACTAACTGGGAGTTACTAGTCAGTAACTGTCGATAGAAGCAGAAACGTCGAAAAAAATGATTATAAAAAGATATGTAGGAGAGAAAATGAATGATACATTGAAACTTCTAAAAGACCCACGATCTACACATTATTAAGAGTAGTATTAAATTAATTTTAGAAGGTAGTTAATGTTAAAATCAAGATTGTTTTTTCAATTTTTTTTTTGTAATCAAAATCTTTTCGATCGAATTAATAAAGGAATTTCCTTTTATTAGTTATCTAATTGTTTATTGTTGTTGTTGGAGTATTTTAATAATAATAAAAAGGAAAATTTTCATCCACGTTCCCTTTAATTAAGTCTAAATTCAATGACATTTCCTCTCGATTCTAAAACTTTACTGTACTCCCTTATGGTTTATACTTTCAAATCAAAGACACCCTTTAATGGTAATTTCTAATGATTTGATTATATATTTTCTAAAAATGACAAAACTATCATTTGTTATATATATAGACTAAAATGCCCTCAACACTATCCCCATTACATATTGGAAAATTTTCATCTATAATCTTGTAGTTAGGTCTAAATTCAATGACACTTCCTCCCGATTCTAAAATTTTACTGCATACCCTTCTGGTTATATTTCAAATCAATGACATTTTCTTAATCGTAACTTTTGTCTCTACTAGTAAATAAAGTAATGATTTGATTAAATATTTTGTAAAAATATCAAAATTATATTTTATTATGTAAATGGACTAAAATGCCCACAATATTTGTCCCATTATATATATATGTCTTAGCCAACTAGTAAAGGTCATTTTTATCATTATATTATTTCAATGAATTTTTATCATTTTAAAGTGTTGCATGACAACTTTGTTATAATATTAGTCATCATATTATCACTTATTTGGTTACATAATCGAGTTTTTATAATTTTTATAGTTAAAAATAATTTTCTATAATAAAAATTACGATCAATAAAATCAATGTTAAAATCTCATCAATTTCTAACTCCTCTACTATTGTCAATCCTTCACAACGTCATCTAACCACTCTTCACACATAACCCATATAAAATTTAAATATTATTTGATAAAATTTAATATTAATTGAATAAATTTAATCTTAATTTGATAAATTTAAATATTAAGTTGTTGTTAATTTGATAAAATTAAATATTAATTTAATGTTTATTTGATAAAACTTAATGTTAATTGAATAAATTTAAATGTTACTTTAATAAAATTGAATGTTCATTTGGTGTTAAATTAAACAACTGACATTAATTTGATAATGTTAAATGTTAAATTAATGAAATTTAATATTATATTTAATATATTAAATTTTAATTTAATAAAATTGAATGTCAATTTAGTGTTGATTTGATAAACCTAAAGGTTAATATAATAGAATTAAAAAGAAGTGTATTGAAATTTCAAAATCAGGGGGAGATATTATTAAAGATAGGTCTATTCATAGGGACTGTCGTTAAAGTTATGTTTTTTTACAAGGGGTATAGATAAAATTTATCCTATAAAATATTTAGGGGTATTTTTGAAAATTAACGATCTCCATTAACGTCGTAATTTCGACAAATACTAACAAAAGGTGACAATGAAATTTCAGAATCGCAAATGGGTGTCATTGAATTTAGACATAATTACAGGGAGTGTGGATGAAATTTTCCCTAATAAAAATATAGTGTTTATTATTTATCTAATTTATAAAGCAATAATTTATTTCACTTTTACTTGTATCTTCATTTTAGCATAATAATACATATTTATTTTTATCTTCACAAGCCACATGAGTTACAACTCTAACAATTAGCATGTAGATAATGAGAATTATAATGATAAAATTTAGAGATCCATAAATTATATATTCTATTCTTATTGTGACAGTTATTAGGTGAATAAGTTAGTAAGACCAAAATAATTATGAAATTTACAAGGGAAGTGAATGGGATTATTTTTAGCTTAGAGTTATAACTTTGTTTCACCTATAAATAAAGTTTCATCACCACTGTGGTTGTGGAAAAACAAGTACTCTAATGTTTTTTTTTCCCTTTTATTTCATACTTTATTTTTTGGGCCAAAAAAAAAAAACGTGTGTGAAATTTCTACTTCTCAAGGTTGTGTAAACTGAGAGAAGTTATAGTGAGTGACTGAGTTGTTATCTTGGAAGTGGCGTGTTATGACCTACTACATAAGAGAGTTTATCTGTAGGGGCACGAATTATCTTAAAGACATCGATTTAATCCGCACTTCAATTCAAACTTAATACTTTATCAGGTATGAAATCTACCATTATTTCAAATTAAACGATAATCGAGACAAGTGTGACAATCCTCTCAATTTCATGTTTACATAGTTTGCTTAGTTGATGTTTATTTCTAATTATATATTTGTTCTAATTCCAACAATATTTTCGTAAACAATCACTTAAAAATTGTTTCATGATTCCAATAGACTTTGGAACAACACATGTCAATTAAGAAAAAATTCGAGGTTAGTTAAACATAAAACATAGAAACTGAACGTGAAGAATGAGGGATTTAAGGGTCATAAGTCTACTCCCCAATGCTTACATTTACATCAATCTCTATCTCTATGCGTAAAAGCATGCATATCTTATTTAGATACATCAAACGAAAGAAAACAAGATTAGATAATCGTTTTGAAGAATTTGACTTGAAGGTTATAGAGTCTCGATATCTATGTACCTTTGTTAACTTTATTTCTTGTCATTTTACTGATAGTTTAAATGATAATAGAGACGAATTATAAATTTAGAGGTTTAAATTTAAATGTTAATAATATTTTAATATCAGGTTAAGAGAAATTTATTTTTATGAATATTTTAGTTCCGACGTAAATAATTTATTTTTAATCAATTGAAAAAAATTAATTAAAATATACATAAATTAATCTGAACGCCGTAATTATTGAAAAAAAAATTACTTTAATAGAAAATTCAATTTTACCAAGTTAGACATTGTGGCAAAAGTTGAGCAATTTTAATGCATGGTGGGTGACAGGCATATAGGGCCTCCAGGTGAGCCCCAGGGTCCGGGACTCCAGTGGGTTTAAGGAAGATTGTCCCCACCCGAGTGGTCCCCACTGCCCACAAATCCCTCCCGACATCTCCCCACTCATTTGGATTTGCACAGACAAACCAATCAAGAGAGAGAAAACCAAAAGAGTGGCGGAACCCACTCTTGATATA